GCAACAATCGCACGGTCGTCTGCCCGTCCATAGGCATCATCGACGACAACACGCTGGAGTACCGTACATCCGCCTTGGCCGTCGTGTGTCTTTCTCTCTCTCTGTGTGTGTGTGTGTGTGTGTGTGTGTGTGTGTGTGTGTGTGTGTGTGTGTGTGTATGTGTGTGCGCGCGTGTGCGCGCGTGCTTGCGTACTGCGTGTATGTGTGTGCGTGCGTGCTTCGTGTATGTGTATCTTCTTTCTTTAGTTCGCGCGCTCTCTATTCTGACGCATTCTCTCTCGCTCTCTCTCTCGCACACACACAGGTGTCGCAACCAACAGCTGTTGCCCGTGGACAAGCTGCCAGACAGCAGTATCATCATCTGCTTCCACAACGAGGCCTGGTCGACGCTGCTGCGTACAGTACACAGCGTGCTCGACCGCTCGCCACCCTCCCTCATACACGACATCGTGCTCGTGGATGACGACTCCAATCTACGTGAGTGCTATAGTGAGAGAGATGGGGGAGGAGGGATGAGAGGGAAGGGGTAGGAGATGAAAAGGGTAGGGGGGGGAAAGAGAGAGGAGATGATAGGCGAAGGAGAAGAGAGAAGAGGAGGAGAAAGGAGAGGAGAGAGGATATGAGAGGAAAATAAGAACGACGAGGAAAGAAGGATAGGGGGATGAGAGGAAAGGGAGAAGGACGAGGAAGGGAATAGAGAGGAGGCTGAGAGCATTTGAGGATGGGAGGATTTGAGAAAGGAATTGAGAATAGAATAGAGGAGATGACGGGATGAATGATAATGGAGAGGCGGGCGTGAAGAGAATGGAGCAGATAACGAAGGAAGGAAGGAAGCGAGGAGATGAGGATGAAAAGGATGAGAGAGAGAGAGAGAGGGGTGGAGAGAAGGGCAGTTAAGAATAGAAAGGAAGCGAGAGTAGGGTGTGATTTGCATTTAAACCGGACCAGTAATTAATCACGTAATTAGTCTGTAATTAATCGCATCTCTCGCGCGCGTGGTTTCAGCCCATCTTGGCAAACCCCTGGAAGAATACATGGCCAAGCTCGGTAAAGTGAAGATCGCGAGAGCCACTAAGAGAGAGGGTCTCATCCGGGCTAGGCTGCTCGGCGCGAAGGTCGCTGGAGGTCAGGTCATGACCTTTCTGGATTCACACTGCGAAGCCACGAAAGGTAGGCTACGTTATATATGGCTATTATGGCTATTATATAGAATTATATAAAATTTTGTTATAAATGGCTTTAGATAAACTGGCATCGAATTACAAGTTAATATATAAAATAATTACTACTTGTCATGTATTTTAGTCAAAACCCATCATAACAGCAAACGTATAACAATTACTAGTTAAATTAATAAATTAATTGAATAAAATTATAAAATTAATTAAATCAAATAATCAATAAATTAATGTTTACTACGCTTTTATATCAAATTCGTAATCTATCTCGCAATAAGTTTTACTAAGTACTACTTGCATATCTAACCGCGCTTTTAATTGTCTTTATCTCACAATTGGCGGTTCATAGTAGATTTCAAGTAAAACAACCGACACACTAATGTGAAATACACGATGTAAAACACAGCATGCGACATGCAATATAAGACACACAGCAAACAACATACAACACACAACACACAACATATATCATGAAACAAAACAGTATACAGCACAGAGTATGCAACACACAACAAACAAAAAACACACAACATATATCACGAAACACACAGTATACAGCACCTAGTATGCAACACACAAACAACACACAAACAACACACAACCCTCCCCCCGTTCGCGCGCACGTTGGCTACCATGTGGCGTCACCTGGCGGGTGATTTCGGCAGGTTGGCTCGAGCCACTACTGGAGCGGATAGCGCGCAACAATCGCACGGTCGTCTGCCCCGTCATAGACATCATCGACGACAACACGCTGGAGTACCACGTGTCGCCTGCCGCCGGCGTCAACATCGGTGGCTTCGACTGGAATCTCCAGTTCGCCTGGCATCAGATCCCGACCCGAGAGCGCCTGCGCAGAAATAACAGCGCCGACCCGATCCGGTAGGGGGCGCCTCCTCTGCTGCTTATGCTCGATCCATACTCCAAGCCATCATTAGTGGTCTCCATCTACTTATACTCTTACTCTCCCTCCATCACGAGGCGGAGGGCGTACAAGTACACGTGTGCAGTGCTCTCTCTCTCTCCATCTCTCTCTCTCTCTCTCTCGCGCGCTCTCTCTCTCTCTCT